GTAGCATCACGTCTACTTTTCTTGTGTGCTGGTGACTCAGTGGTGCTTTTACTTGATGCAATCATCATCACCATTTGTTGTTGCATCAGTTGTTTCATCTCATCCAGTTTTTGTTGCATTGTCTGTTCCATGTTTGCTTGCAGTTGTTCTTGTAGCTCCTTTTGTTCCTTTGCATGTGTTTGGAGAGTTTTGCTCAAGGTCGATTTGATCTCCTTTAACTCTGTTTGCAAGGCTTTGTTGACATCTCTCATGATATTCTTTTCTCTCATCAGTTCATCTATGGTGTCTTCCTACTCTTGCTCTCTTTCTGTTTTTGCAGTGTTGGTGCTACTGGCTGCATCAGAGTTGGTCATATGTCAGGGGTAAATGTCATGGTGCGGAACTGACAGCCTTGGAAGTCCCCCGAGGACTCCACTGCGCCAGCCGCAAAAACAGTGTCAAGACTGGATGTATGTTGAGGATCCCGAGGAAATTGAACGCCATTTCCAGGCTCACCTCAAAAAGCATTTCTGGCAGGCTGAGGAGACAGAATTCCGATCCGACTCCACCCTGCGGACCGATACAGACTTCTCCGCCAGTACTGCTACAGCCGATGCAATCCTGGATTGCGAATACGACATTTGCCCATTTGAAACGTCATTTGCTACTGCCGTCCTCCCCAGGCACCTGGCGCGGGCTTGTGACGGTGAGATTCCAGCAACGTTGACACAGGAACAGTTGATGGGAAACTCAAGAGCTGGAATGAGCGACCCACCACCTCCCCCTCTGGGCAACACCTCGGCCATTGGAAGTCACTATTTGCGGAACACAGCCTCGACCCAGAGTCTGAGGAAGGGAAGGAGCTGGAGGCTTTTCAAACACAGATCAAACAGGCACACTTCAGGCTCCTCAACTTTGCTCTGGAACAGGGCTTTGCCTACTCTAGATGGAACAAAATTGTCAACACCCTCATCCCAAAGGATGAGGGTGGTTGCAAAATCCATCGTCTGCGAGTCATCCATATCTTTGAAGCCGACTATAACCTGCTTCTCGGCGTGAAGTGGCGTGAACTCCTCCACCATGCCTCCAAGCAAGGGCTGATCAACACAAAACAGTTTGGTTCCGTTCCAGGAAGGTCCGCCATTGATCTCTGTTATATGGAGGAACTCGAGTATGAAGTATCACGTTGCTGTTTGCACCCCCTAATCAAGAATGACAATGACGCAGCTGCGTGCTACGATCGGATTCTCATGTACATTGCCAGTCTTGCAAGCCGAAAGATGGGTATGCCAGTGCGTGTCTGTAAAGTAAACGGCATGAATCTGGAACAGGCCCAGTACCATATCAAGACCACTCTGGGAACGTCCGTCACATTTCTCGGTCATACGGAGGAAGATCCCTGGCACGGGTCTGGCCAAGGAGCTGGGAACTCCCCGGCCTTATGGCTGTTTATTTCGAGCACACTATTTGATTGTTTCGAGCCCTATGCAATCTGGTGCCACCTTTGCCAGCCCAGACGGATCAAAGCAGGTCAAGCTCTTCATGACAGGGTTTGTGGATGATACGAATTCAAGAACGAATTGCTTTCTGACAAACACCGTTCCCACAGTGCACGTATTGGTGGAGAAGGCATCCAAAAAGATGCTCATTGGTGGAGTGATCTTCTGTGTTCGTCGGGTGGCAAGCTGGAGGCTTTGAAGTGTTCCTTTCATCATATCCGATATGAGTTCCGACCCAGTGGCGAACAAAAGCTGGTCTCGGGGACTGACTTAACACCATCCATCAAGGTGAAATCGACTGATGGGATCGTAACGCCGATCAAACCAGTAGACAACTACAAAGATCACAAGTCACTTGGATGTTTCAAAGGCCCGGCTGGAAATCTCGAAGCACAGAAAGCAGCCTTGAGGATCTCGAAATCGATTGTCATCTCCCAGTCGGGCTGTTCCAGTGCATGCGAAGGTTCCTTAAATCCATTGGAGGCACGATTGAAGTGCATAACGCCCACATTCCGCCGTTGCAGCGCGAACAAGACTCCTACATTATGGACTGGGTGGGATGGTATGGAAATTTCTCCGAGGCAGACCTGAAACCGATCAACTATGTGCGTCTGTACTTCCAAGTTGTCACAGTAGCTGACATCACAACGCCATGTGGCACATAACATCCGGGAGGAGTTTCTGGCATGGCTTTTCGCAGTGCACTGATGCCTCGCACCACCTACTTCAAGAGATGAATCAAGTTCGACCCAGGGATCCCAGAGGCTTGGTGTTGTGGAGGAAAGCCTTATCCGTTTCGCTCCGAATCTGACGTTGTGATGTACCCCTGGGGAGGTGGTCGTCTCTGCTGACAAGCTCCGGATGCGCCACGGTTCTTCTATGAAGTCGATGCCAACTTCGTCTATCAACAAGTTACAATGAAGAAGTCCGATTCTGGATGTTCCAACATCCAGTCCCGAACAAGGAACGGACAGTTCATCGCTGGGAGTTCGGAGATGAATCTACTGGACGCCAGCATCCTACAACAACTCGGTGCCACTGGCATCCCACTTCCCCCGATTTTGCACTCTGTCCAGTCAACTCTGGAGAAGCGGCGAGTCCTAGACCTGACCCTCTTACAACAAGCGTGAGACAGTGGTAGTTGGTAGTGGTTTCACAGGAGGCATTCCTGCTCGTCCCTACCACCCACACGACAAACATTTGAGGACTTCCTTGCCACTTTGAGCCTGGGAAACAGCTCTCTATGACGAGCTTGAGTGGATGTGGACGCCTACTCAGTCCGCAGATTGTCACGAGCCATGCCCGTTCTGGGTGGCCAGCGATGGGCTGCAGACATTGAAGCCGTGTAAGGCGAGTTTTGATGGTCCTGGCAGACAACCGCGGCCAAATTTGGCTTCGGTGCTCTGGTCCAGTTTTTGGTATGGTTCCGACTTCCTACATGGGCGATGCTCTATGGCATTCTCTCCCCTACTTGCCTTCTTCGCCGATTGCTGGAGTTCTACGATCAGACCAGCAGAAGAATTATGTACACTTATGGGACAATGAGTCTGTGACGAATAAGTGCGCTAGCTGTCTCGAGTAGAGGGATGGTACCCCAATGATTCTTTGAACTCCGACTGGGATGTCTTGCAGCAGATGAGGATTCGTTCCGGGCTGCAGTCACTGTGCCCAAGATGGAGCACATCAAATCGCAACCAGGAGAACAAGCACAAGGCCATCGAAACAACTATACCCCTAAAAGCACAACTGAACTGAGAGCTGACAAACTGGAAGGCAGTTACATGAACGACAAATCAAACAGGATCACTCCACGGTACTCCGATTTCCGGAAAACCTGGCCCAGCTGCACCTTCCCAGAGAACATGCACATACAAGCTTCCCAGAACCCTGCGGCATCTCAGAAACGACCAGCCCCTGTTCGACCACATTGTCAACTGAATCCTGATTGGGATGAGGACACCCCTGCACTGGTTGATTGACAGCCCATGGTCGAGCTGTCAACGTCAGAGATCCACAAACCGACAATTGTGAAGTTTCTATTTTCAATTGTTGCCAGTTGGGAAACGGGTCTACCGGGATGACCCCAAGTATGATCACCACGGTCCCCGTTGTGGCGGTGATCACGAGACTGAAACCCATGTTTACCGATGCCCAATGTTGACGTGGATTTGTGGCGAGGGACCATGCAACGAGCGATCAGCACAAAGTTGCGCAGGGATTCCACGACCCCTTCTTCCTGGAAATTGCTCTGGATGGACTACAATACCACTTTGAAGATCGATTCCTCCACCATGGCATTACCTGACAGGTATAGGGACCTCGTTGACACCAAAATCTCATTGGTTGGGACAACTTCCTGAGAGGACGTTTGTCCAGCATTGGGCTAAGCATCAAGATGCATATCGGCATCGGGTCGGCTCCCAAGAGACCACCAAGACAGGGCAGCTCTGGGTCACAAACCTAGCCTCACTGCCCATCCAGCAGTGGTGGAACCTGTGGGAGGATCGAAATGCTGCAGCATGGCAAAGACAGGGAAGAACAGTGGAAGAAGAAGCACGAACAGCTTCAGCGGGAGTGGAACTCATTTACGAGAAGCGGATCTGATCCCAGCGAAGCTGGTGGATTTTATCTTCAGCGACCGCTTGACGAGCAAATGGAAAGGGCCCAGGCGACATCAAAGCGTGGCTTGCCAATTGGATGCCCGTCGTCAACAAGGCACTCAGGGACGAGCATGACGCACAATGCAGAACAATGACACAGGGTAACTACGCACAGAAGGGGTCCTGCCGTAGAAATAGATGGCAATCCAGCCACGGGTAGTTCGTTAGCTGCAAAGCACCCTCCGGAGTTTTTAAAACTTCTCCGGTGGGGGGCTTGCACTAGGCCGGTTCCTATGTGGGCGTCCTTGTACGTCTGAGGTACTCCGGTTCAATATGGCTCCGTTCAGCGGGTGGTCTATTGAGGTGCAGCCTAAATAATAAAACTTTGTTATTTTTCAGAGTTGGTCATATGTGATACTGCATCTCCTTCATGGTTGCTCTGTGATTCATTGTCGGATTGATTGGATTTGGCTCCAGCTACAATCGCGGCATAACTGTTGGTGGCTACTATAGCTGTCGGAATGGAGGGGCGTGTGGTGTTCATGGGATTTTGTTGGGTTTGATCTGAAACTGCCGATGACAGAAGAAAGTCGAATTTGGTGATTGTGGTTGCTTTTGTTGCTCTGGTTTGTTGGGTCTGCACGGTGCGATCATCCCGACTAAGGGGAACGATGATTGGTGCTTGGATGTCGGGATTGTTAGTGCAATGATTTTGGATTGACTGCTGTATGAATTGATGCACTTCATCCTTTTTGTCCATGAGACATACGACATAGATTGTTCCAGTGTCCTTGGTGTGTGGCTTGTGGTCGAGATGTGGATGATGTTGAGTGCTTTGTTTTGTTCTGCCACGGTTTTCAGTGCTTCAATGATGTCACCATTTGCTCCAATCACTTTCACCGCTCCACACCTTTTCTTGATTTCATTGTTGACCTTAAGGTTTTTCTCGAAGTCTTCCTTGTTGGATTTGGTATCACTGAAGATGATCTGGGGTCCTTTGAAGGGATGTTTCTTGAGAATCTCTGTTACTCTGTTTAAGTCTTTCTCACCAACAAACATGGACAATGTGTCAGACCTGGTGGTTCCACAGCGTACAGTTGTGCGTTGAACATTGAAAGGTGGCACTTTGTCGCCCATATGGGTCTTCAAATGTGCTTCCATGTCAGCAGTAACTCCAATGCGGTAAGTTTTCTCTGGGTTAGCACCTAAAAGGAAGCTTACCGACTTACTAACACTTTCTCGTAGATTGTGAGGTCTCATCTGAATGTTGACCCTTTTGAGGTATCCTGACAGAGGAAGATGCTCTTTGAGTGTCCTGAGATTTCTGCCAATGCTGTTTGAGACAATCCAAATGGTGAAGTGAGCCTTGAACTGGTTTTGCATGTCGGTTCCCCAGCAGATGTTTTTTATATCTCCGAATGCAACCCAATCTCCAGTGGCGGCTTTTCTGATCGAGATGGCCTGGTTGATGTTGCAGTTGAATGGCATAAGCACAGCAGTATTGTCCACTTCTCCTACCAACTTGATGATTTTGTTGAGTTCCTCTTGGGTGAAGGCAGATGAGCGAGTTATTGTCGCCAACTCTGGTGAAGCAGATTCCAATCTTATTTGCCTTTTTGGAAACCAGAGTAGCCATTACGGTTGCGTTCTTCTTGTTTTTGCTGACAACCTCTTCAAATCCATCCTCCGGAGAGTTATCCTTGTCAACTGAAGAGTTCATGTTGGTTGGTGGTGAATTGGGAGTTGGGGTTTTTTGGGTGGGTGATAGGGTTAGGGTTTTGGTTGTTATTTTGCTGCTTGGTGCTGCTAACTGAGTTGGTATGCTTGATTTCCTTCTGTGATCAGAATTGGACGATCCTATTGGGTAGGATGTGTTTCCTGATGATGCTACCACTGTGGTTAAGCTGGGAGTGCTTATCTCTCGCTCGAAGCTTGTTGTTTGGCTTCCTTCCAGTAGAATGCCCGTTTCGCCGGGTTGTTGTACTGTTTTTCCCACAGTGATCGATCGGTCGACAAGTAAGTTGCTGATAAGCTGTTGTTGCTTGTTCGATTGGTTCGATAACCAGAGGATGATCGTTACTAATAGGTATGATGCTGTTGTGATGCTTGGATTTGCTCGAAACGGCTTGATAATGGTTTTGTGGACAATGCCAAAAATTTGACACCAATTCCTGATAGTCCTGGGAATTGTCACGTGGTTGAGTGAGAAAGAATGCTCTACAAGCACTAGATTGATGTTTCAAGGCAGGCATCGAATCGTGTTGCCGTTGAATCGACGGTCAAAAGTAGTCGTACTCTCACAATTTCCTCATTCCACCCTCGAAACAAGCGAAGCCCTGCCATTTTCCTCGATAGTTTCTTCAGTTCAATTGCTCTCTCCTCGGCCATGACGGACATCGGAACCTACGTCAAAGAGAATGGGCCTCCTGCAGCAACTGCAGTGAGTGTCGTACTATCGTGTCGTGCCGTGTCGTGTCGATGTGTGAGCGTGGAGCTATTAACTGTCCCAGATTGCCGCCTCACCATTGTTTCCATTTGATCTGCTGTGTTTGCATAGGTGGAAGCCTCCTATAATCACCCTGAGCTAATCGTCATGCGTCTTTGGACCAATGCAGCTGGAGAATATGTTGATACCGATGGGGTGAAGTTCCGCGACCCATGGATGTACATCGCTCATGTGGAGCAACTCCAGGGGAAATCATTCTTCCAGAGTGACTCCAAAGCTTAGCCATGTCGGGCAAGGAAGTGATTATTGTCGATCGAGCGTGTTCTATTGGCTCTGGTGGGTTCTTTCTGCTTGCAGCTTTGTTCTGGATGGATGGATATACTAGTAGCAGGAACAACTTGACCTTCTTATGGTTACCTTGTTGTTCTCATTGATTGATTCGATTCACATCCCCTTTTGTCCTTTTGTCGCTGCCTACTTGCTTTCAATTGATTTCATTCTGTTTTTGTTTTTTTAACGTTGGACGCAATGGTCAAGATCAGAGACATCATCTCGAAACTCGGAAGTGATTCATGCTTGACTCTACTATCCAAAAGATTCTCTCAAGGCTGGGTTTTGTGTGGAGGGAAAATGCAATACACGGCTCTTAGCCTTATTCACGACTCGATCCTAGATAGGGTTTGAGTTCGACTCATGACTGAGTCTCTCGTGAATAGTCATTTGAGACAGGGTTCTCAATGACCGCTCTGGTCATACTAGGTTGATGATGAAACATCGCTCTAGATATTTAGCCAGCGTGGAGTACTTCCACGCTACTAGATCCATGCTAGACAAACCTTCCACGCGTTCCGTTTTAGGATCGTGGAGATACGTAGGATTACTACCACAACCTACTCTATCACACTTTATAGTCTCCCACGGGAGGCCAGATCTACGATCCCTTGACGATGATCTCTCTCGTTGATTAGTTTTCATAGCTTTCTAATCTCTCTCATAACTTTCATTCTCTCAAACTCAAAACACTCGAAAGATCTTTACACTAGCTTTTAGCGTAGTGCATTTTGTTAACAAACACAATAGCTTTCAGCTACCCTCAACCTATTCCTTCACCATGAAGATGGCTCAAGGAAAGCATGCGTTCCGCAACTTCGAGAAACAGTTGCGTGACAAACCCACACTGGGAATGAAAAACTCTGCAGAAACGCCCTTTTTGAGTCCGCAGAAACACTTTTTTTCCTGAAGCAGGCTGGCGTGCACTCTGCAGAAGCCCTCGAACTCTGCAGTTCCGAAAGCCGGCATGGCTTTTTCTGCCAGGAGGTGTTTTTTTCTGCCGGGAGGTGTTTTTTTTTCTGCCGGGAGGGTGTTTGTCTCTGGCAGATGACTTTTTTTCTGCCAAAAGCACCTGAAAACTGCACAGAATGGCTCGCAGAGTCGATTATGTTTTGTGCCTAACATACATTGCCTTCTCTCTCTGCTTTTCTATTCCAGAAAAGGCTAAGTTCAGATAACCCGAGCCAAAAAGTAGCTACAAAGAAATAAAAGGTAAGTCAAAAATGGATACTTTTCCAGCATGATAAGATGAGTTATAGCTAAGACATCTTTTATTGTTTTGTGCTATGCTTTCACCTTCTCAGAAAAATGAAGAAACCCAGGTGGAGGTAATGACACAGACAGCAGCAAAAAAAGCAGGAGTTTACTCTCGTCCCCTCACTTATGTTCTTTTCTACAGGTTCATTCCAGGACGCAGCAGGAGTCGATGGAGGAGGAATTGTCGGTTGGCTCAGATCTAGAGATTGAAGACGAGTTCGTTTGAAAGAGCAGTTTTGTTAGCTTTGGGTACTACGGACATAATGATGATCACGTCGGCATGGAATCCCTCAGTGAGCTTACACCAGCACGTCAGCACTACAGAGGACCTCACCTTCAAACTCCCTTGGATTACATTCAAGAAACTCAGTGAGGTTAGCAAGCGTCCCAACAAGAAAGCCAAAGATTGTGGTAGGAGATGTTGCAAGTATGATCAGGGAGGGAGCATCGATGTAATTAAATCATCTCCTAGGTTGGAAAAAGACCATTTCAAGAGGGTGTTGCAGCTAGTGAAGAGATTTTGGAACTTTGCATGTTCCCAGTTGACTGTACCTTTTTGATGACACACAAACTGTGGCCGACCTTGAAGCCGGAGGCAAGCGACATTTCGAAGAAAAAAAAAAAAAAAAAAAAAAAAAGAAAAAAAAGATAAAAAAATAAAAAACTGGCCGTCCTTGGATTCGAAAGCACGTTCGAGCTCTTCAAGGTCATTGATACTACAGCCCCCCCCCCTTCAAAAACCTTCTTTTATTTGTGAACATGAAAGCCCCTCTGTTTTTCCCATCCCCCGGGCCATCTCCATTCTACCCCCAAAAGCCTAAAACCAGGTATTTACCCACACTATTGACCCTTAAATATTACCCAACCTACGTTCTTTCCACAAATAGTAATAAAATTCCCTAGTAGAATCACTCTATTTTATCCCCCAACACCCCCTAACCTTGCTCTTTTTTGTGCAACGGTTTATAGATATGTGAATGAAACCACGACACTCTTGGGCAGTTATTTAATTCCAGTTCCTTGTGGGGAGTTGAACCTGACAAGGATGTTTTCGAATTCAACAGGGTCCACGTCATACACTGTGACTTGTGCTTTTGAAATATGCTGATGTTGGTGGGACTGAGTCGATCTAATCGAATAGGTTCGAATTCGATTTGTTTAGAGTGTGGGTTAATGTTTCCTCGACATCATAATGGGGTCTCGTTTTAGAGTCTGGGTTAATGAGACAGTTAATGGGGGTTCTCGTTTTGCAGGAGAGACGTTAGGGCTTAGGTCCAAAGTGTGCCGTGGCATTAAATGTCAATGATGTCATCGCAGGCCTTGAGATTTCAAAACGAGACTGGCTATTTATTTGCTGCTAGTTTCGTCACGCCTGCCTTGTATCCATCTCTAAGTAATTGTCAAGCTGCAAACGATAATTTCCAGAAAATCCTTCTGCCAAACAATG